CCGTGGGTATTCTCTAATGCTCAGTTACACTAAAAAAGACCTCGTGCTGCTCTTTGCCCCACCCACACCCCCCTTGCAGGGTGGGGAGGGGGGAGAGGGTGGATCCTTATTTATTTACTTACTTATTTCCATAAGGACCTGTCGCCTTCGAGGTCGTGTTGATATTTTTTTCCTCCTATTTTTTTCCTCCTCTCTCCTCTAATTGCTCAGAGTGGGCCGTATCCCCCTCTTCCCACTCCCCCGGGAAGGTAAGTCATGCTTCTTCCCCTTCTTTCTCGATGACAGAGGGGGTGGGTTTCAGGGCAAAGTGAAGAGGCAGGCATTATTGTCTCTGTGTGGGACCCAGGAGCCCCTCCACTAACTCCCCCAGAGTAATGCTAAACCCTGGTACGTGGAGATTGTTCCAGGGGGCTGGCCGGTGGGGGAACCACCTCAGACTCCAAAGTAGAAGCCTCTGCTCAGGGCGAAAAGCAAAGGTCTGGGCTGTACCCACTCCCAGTGCAGGGTTGTGGCTGCTGATGCTGCTGAAGCAGAGGCTGGGGCCTGGGCGATGACCTGCAGGCCGTGACAGGACCGGGGAACCGGCAGGCATGGCTGCTTCTACCCAAGCCTGCCCAGCTCTTCCAGTGAAAGAGAGGCCCAAACCCTTCAGGGAGGAGGCAGTCAGTGCAAGGTGGGGCTGGAGCGCCCTGCCCAGCGGGTCTGAGCAACTTTGCCCCCGCCCCTGGCCAAGCCCTTGTTTCTCCCCCTGGGGCGGTGCATCCCCTGGGGAGGAAGCCCAGGGCCTCGGGCAGTCAGGGCGGCTGGGGCAGGTGATGGCAGGCGCCAGGGCCTCTTTCTTAGTTAACGGTTACCCACTGGTGACGCCAGTGCTTCTCCATGCTTCACCGCTCACCCAATAGTTTTACTCAGCATGGAGAAAAAATTAAAATAACTCCCTGACGAAAAATTACACATTTTATTTGAGAAAGAGAGGGAGAAAGAGAGAGAGAGATTAGCCGACCTGCCCTGGTCTTTTCTGCTGTGTGCTGGTGGAGGAAGAGTCCACTTCGGGAGGCCTATTCTGGTTCTGAGTGAGTGCAGTGTGAAGAAGGGGTGCAGCAATGGGTGCAGTTCAAATAAACCATTTGGTGAGCCCTCCCTACTTGCTAGCGTGGAGTGAGAAAAGGCTCTTGGGTTCTTTAAAAAAATGACAGGTGGCTTAGGCAATGGGATGCAGAGAAGTCAGTCCTTATAATAATCAAACACGGGCCCTCACTAATATTCATAAATTTTCCCCTTCCCCCTCCCCAGAGCCTCCCTGTTCCCTTTCCCTTTTGGCTGCGGGAGAAACCTTTTAGCCCAGCTCCGGAACCTCCCCCCCCCCCCCCCCCCGCCCAGTATGGGGGGCCTAGGCTTGGCTCCAGGAAATCACCCCATTGTGGGAGGCGGGAGAGGAAATGCAGTAAAGTTTTATGGACCCTTCCCACATTTGTTTCTCCTATAAAGTACTTCCTCTCCCTTCCCATCCCAAGAGCCTGAATCAGAGCAGAGCAAGGGCCTAAGCCAGTCTCAGGCACCACCTGAATTATCTGCTGTTTCTCCTTCCCTTTTGCCCACCCTCCCCCTACACAAAATCCCAGCGACCAGAGATAAATGATGGTGAACAGATGAAGCTCAGGCACTGGTCTATGTAGCCCCTTTCCAGCTCATTGTCCCGCATAGCCCTAGGCCCTAGAAGATGGGGAAACGGTCTGAAGATTCCTGCCAGGCAGGTATACCCTGCAGATTGCCCTCCCTACTCACCCTCCGCCCGTATCTGAGAAAGCTGAGACACACCTCCTCCAACTTCCCAGCACCCCTTTACTCAGCAGCACCAACTCTTTCTGAGGATCCTTCTGAGACCAAATAGGACCCTAGGCTGAGGGCTCAGCCCTTTATGCCCACCTAGGCCCCTCGGGGACCCCTTAACCCCACTGCAGAGCCACGAGTCCCTACAGATTCATTCTTGCCGGCAGTGAGGGCCGCTGTCAGTCTAGAGGCCCCAGATCCACCCAGCCAAAAAGGGAATGGGGTGCAGAGGCCTGAATGCCTTGGATGGCCACAGCATAGGACAGGCGCCTGGGTCCTCCCCTTCCCCCAGAGGCCCTTCTTAGGGCCAGGGGTCAGGACAGGAGCCCAGTTTCACCTGCCTTGTCTCAATACCCAAAGAAACTCCTAAAATTTCCTTTAAAGAGGAGGTTTAAAGGCTGTGGGCCTCCCCCTCCACCTCACAGCCCATTTAGACATTTTTGCCCGATACGTGCCCCAAACAGAGAGGAGCCACTGCATCTTTAGTCCTGTTCTCTCTTTGTCTTTATTTGCTATGACAAAATATAGTTTCAGGAAAGACCTGGCGTCAATAAATAGTTGTACAACAGCGATGGGGCAGGCGGGCACAGAAAGTGGTGGCAAGGATACTAGCAGCCAGGAGCCCCGAGGACCGCTGCTGGGGTCCTGTGGCAGGGAACCTCAATAGTTGAGCTCGCTAGTGGTCTGAGGCTGGGGGCCTGAAGGCATGCAGAGGGCGCAGGCTGGAGAGGTTCCCGGGTTTGGGGTTGGGGGAAGGTTTAGAGAGCATAGGACAACCCAAGGGGCCGGAGGCAGACTTCAATCGGCTCCCCCTTTTATTATGCAAATCATTTAAAAATGAACAACTTGAGTGTAGTCACTACAACGAAGCACCCCGAATCTGGCGCCAGACTCCCCCAGGCACAACCACTCTCTCGCCAGATCGCAGCGGCCTGGC